ATATCATCAGATAGGAGATGTCACACCGAAATTAAAAGCCGCATTTGCCTAGAAAAAGCAACCTTCCACAAAATGAGACAGATACGAACAAACATCAGTCTGTCACTGGAAACGAGAAAAAGAGTACTGAAAAGTTTCATCGAGCCAATCCTATTATACGGGTGCGAAGCAAGTACAGTCAATAAACAACTGGAAAGAACAATTGTGGCGACAGAGTTGTGGTAGATAAGACGCATGCTACGTATCCATGGACAGCTAGAAAAACAAATTATGAAGAAGTCTTGGTTGAAGCAAAATTAATTGTAGAAGACAGCTTGTGACGGATATAAGAACGCGACGGGCAAATTTCTTCAGACACACAATGCGGAAAGATGCATTGGAGAACATTGTAACAACAGGCAAGTTTGATGGAAAAAGAGGCAGAGGCAGACAGAGGGAAACGATACTGGACAAGATGACAACATGGCTAGGAGCAGCAAGAACAACAGACACCATTGCTGCAACGCGGGACAGAGTGAAATGGAGGTCCATGATCGCCCACGCCAGTCGGCAAAGTCACCGGATGATGATTGTGCTTTACTTTTCTTCTTTAATCAGACAGTGCAAAAAATTAGTTCTTTGGTCCAGTACCAGGACGGTAAAGGCTCATTCTCATTGCCAAAGCATTCCCAACGGTATGAGAAGATATCTGAGCGTGTATTTTTACCTGACATTTCAGGGAAAAACAACAATGACCAGACGTTGACTTGTCGTTCTGAGTCTTCTCTGGGTCAAGCAGGTCCCTTTGACCCCAAGATCGTCAAGTTTGCCTGTGAGTGTGCTCAGTTTTTGTGGACTTTTAAATACTCGGTACACTTTAACTTTCTGTCGTTTCTCCACTTGCTATTGGTTGTCTACAGCTGCACTATGTGATCATGTTTACACATCTCTTCTGAATCTACCTTTTCACTAATATACCAAACTCAGGTTCATGAAATCAATATGGAGCTGGGGTCATACTTGCTCTATCCCCAACATTAAAATTTACAGTGCTGTGTGGTAGTCAGTAAGAAATGAATGCACAAAAATAAAGTGCCAGAAAGAAGACAATCCAATAATATAGCTGTAATTGTGTGGGTGTATGTTTTCTTTATTATAAAATACTTCTTATTCAGAAATATTATTTCCTGCATGATTAAAGCAATTAAATGAAAATAGGACATGCATGGACAATGGAAGGAAATATTTCAGTTTGTTTTTTATTCTAATAAATTTTCCATTCTGACAGATGGGCCAAGTAGCGCTACCTTGACCTTCTCACCGACAAGCCCGTCCAATTTGTGTCAAGGCCCCAGTCTCAGTGTTGTGTCCCTTTGTACTGTTGACCCGAGTACAGTAAACCCTCAGCCAGACTACCAACTCTCCGTGAACGGGACACAAGTAGACACATATGTACAGCAGACTCTACAGTTACAGGGCGGAGCTCACAACATTAGATGTCTTGTCGAGAACTTGTTATTTCCCACTGATCTCTTCACTGATGTCACTGAATCGTTCATTGCCATGGGTTTGTTGTTGTTTTTTCCTTTAGTCCTTCACTTTGTTGTCTGTGGTGAACTTGCTTATCATGAGAAAGTCGCAGGTCTGAGATTGTTTTTAAAAATGTATTTGGGTTAGGATCTGTTGTTTACTCACACAGTACTTCATTTCTTAAGGCATACTACACGGCCACAGCAGCTCTATGAATCGAACCTGTTGTGAATTTCTGACCACTGCATTTTGTACGTGACAGTTCTAAAACAAATTTGCTACACATTTTATGATACTGAAGAATGTTTGTGTTACTTGTGTCTACACGATGTTTGTTGTTGCAAATTGTTTGGTTGTTTTAGATGTTTTATTTTAACTTCTCAGTACTTACTTACTTACTTGCTTGGAGAAAAGGTATTATTGTAGGGGATACAATACCATAGTTGCTCCTCCCTCCTCTAGATGATCCATGAAAAGATTGGCTCGAAATTAGTTTTGTTTTTTTCTGGTCTCTCAGTTATTGTAGAGACAAAGTTAAACCTGCCCAGAAGGTTTCCTGTACGATACAACAACTTGTACAAACGGTCTCTTTTCATTACCAACCCCTCTTTTATTCCTATATAACATGTGTATGTATTAACCCATTACGCTGTAGACGAACTGTTCTAATCCAGTCACATCGTTATTGTTTACTGTCTTATGATGAACGAATCGCGACCAGCATGTTAAAGAGTCAAGGTTTCTGGCCCCTTCCACTGTTTACTTATGTTGACCTGTCGGTTTATTGTATTCATTTAGATCAGTTCTGCCTAAAATGGCCACTTGCCTAACAGGAGGTTCCCACATACGCGATCCGATCGGGTCGAACCCTTCGGGTAATTAGGGCTAGCCAAGTTGAGGACGCAAAGCGGCCATCGTGGCACAAACCGATCGACTCGATCGGTGACCTACAAAAACAAAAGCGTTTGTTTTCAGGCCTGCGAATCGCGCGATCGGGTGGTTTGCAGCCAATCACAACAAGGCTGCCACGTGTCCATTTTGACCCATAAATACATTAGGTAGGTACTCTGGGAATTCCCGGTTTCGGTCTCACGCCTTGGCCGTCTTCTCACTTCTCACTGCGGGTTTGGAGCGCTCATAGGCCAAGAGGAAGAAAGAGACGAATAAGAAGAAGGAGGAGGAGAATTACAGAGGGAGAGTGGTGAGAGTGACAGGAAGTGAGAAAGATAATTTGAGAGACATATGAAGAGACCTAGATTAGATTTTTCTTTGCTAGATCTAGGTCTCTGATATGGGAAGTGAGAAATAGACAAGAAACGAGAGAGACACTAAAGCAAGCAAACAAGCAAACAAGCACTCACGCGGGAGCACATACACACACACATACACACACACACACACACACACACTCACAGAGACAGAGAGAGAGAGACAGAGAGAGAGAGAGAGAGAGAGAGAGAGAGAGAGAGAGAGAGAGAGAGAGAGAGAGAGAGAGAGAGAGAGAGATGGCGAAATGGTAGAGAGAGAAGGTCGAGGTGGTGGGGTGATGCAGAACAGAAGTACAAAAAACAACAATTATTAAAGTAAAAGTTGGGGAGAAAGAAAGTGAAGAGCGAGAGAACGAGAGAAGGTTCATCGGATAAAACCCCTCCAGTTACAATAAATAACTCTATGGATTTCTGCTAAAACAGAGCTTTGACAAGGAAAAATTCGATAAGGATTATGACAGGGAGCACTTTTGCTCTCATTTCGACCTCGGCAAGAGACATTATAAGCCTGACCTGTTTCAGGAAACAGAAGTTAAAATGGGAAGAAAGAGAAACACACAGAGAAAGAGAGAGAGAGAGAGAGAGAGAGAGAGAGAGAGAGAGAGAGAGAGAGA